GCGCCCTGCCCCACGCCGCACCTTCAAGCGTCCAGCCTGAGGGGGACCAGCGATGCCTCTGGGGATGAATAAGCATGGATCTCGCTCTACTACCTCTTTGCCTCCGGACCCCACCGAGATCGTCAGGAGCAAGGCCTGCTCCCGAAGGGTCAAGCTCAACGTGGGGGGGCTGGCCCATGAGGTTCTCTGGCGGACCTTGGACAGGTTGCCACGGACCAGGCTGGGTAAGCTCAGAGATTGCAACACACACGACTCCCTCATGGAGATCTGTGATGACTACAACCTGGAGGAGAATGAGTACTTCTTTGATAGGCATCCTGGGGCATTCACCTCAATCTTGAACTTCTACCGTACTGGCAAGCTGCACATGATGGAGGAGATGTGCGCCTTGTCCTTCAGCCAGGAGCTGGACTACTGGGGGGTGGATGAGATCTACCTGGAGTCCTGCTGCCAGGCCCGCTACCACCAGAAGAAGGAGCAGATGAATGAGGAGCTGAAGAGAGAAGCTGAGACACTGAGGGAAAGGGAAGGGGAGGAATTTGATAACACTTGCTGTGCTGACAAAAGGAAAAAACTCTGGGACCTCCTGGAGAAGCCCAACTCCTCCGTAGCGGCCAAGGTAAGATCTCCACATTTATTCTCAAGTGTTTGTCTGTATTGGCTCATTTCTGGTGGTGCTTATATGAAGTGTTGTCCTGCTAGCCTTGCTTTAGTGTCTAGGCACTTGTGGCTGGCTGGATGTTGTGAGTAAAGGGCAGAAAGGCCTCTCAGATGCAAACAAGTTTTAATGTATCTTTTTTGGTGTAGTTTGGAAGTGATCTAGTTTAAGCTTCCCTGAGGCAGTTTAAGCTGCTGAGTGTGGGCAGTTAGCTTCACTGATCTGTGGGCCAGCAGCATACACTTGACTGCTGTGGCTGGAGGTTGTAGACTTGCTATCCAGTGTCCTGTCTTGATGTATTTTGTAACAGATTTCTTTGGGCCTAAAATGTGTGTCCTACTGCTTAGCCAAACTAGCTTTTAAGAGAAGGAAATCTGCTTGAACCTGTAGACCCAGGTCCAGTCAGGAAACAATGCCTTCCCTTCTAGGACCTAATTAAAAATTCTCTGGTGAAATACATCTCCTAGTTATTTGTATCAGCACTCCTAGCCAGTGGGTCTGCTATAGCCAGCTTCCTTTAGTATTTCATACTTTACCTGATTCTAGACCATTTTAAGTCTCCCTGTGCAATGCTGGTGCAGCTCTGTCTCTATCAATAGTCAAAGTACTGTTTACTCTGAAGTTGGTGCCGGCACAAGAGATCTATTTGAAGGCACTTGGAAGATAAGATCCATGTTAGGAGAAACCAATGTCAGAGTTGGCTCTGGTGTTTTAGCTGTCTCATGTTAGTCACATATTCTTTAGTTAGGAAAGTCTCTGTGAACACAGTGATTTAGTAACCATGGGGACAAAAGTGAAGGGAGAGAGGTTGAAAACTGAGGGATGAATAACTGAAAAGCATGAGAGACTGAGCAGTAGGGACCAAAATTTGAATTTTCCATGTACTGGCATCCTCACAGTATGGTAAAGAAGTAGAAAGAGGCCCTAGCTATCTCTTTAATGTCACCTCCATATTGTACGTGCATCTGCAAATGCAAACCGTGGCTCCATCCCATAGGAAGTCTGGTTTTGGTGGGCTACTTATGAAAACAGATTCCTTTCCCTCTCTTACCAAAATGTTGCACATCATGAACCAACAGCATGTACAAAAGTTTACGGAAGGGATTTTATGAAGTGTGGAGCTAAATGGCTCATTCTAGCAGGAGAAGGGAACGGCATGGTCAGCTGCTTAACCAATTATCACTTTTTTAATGGCAAATGGAGCCCCAGAATGTCGTCTTTTTCCTCCAGTAGCACAGATGACACTGCTGAATGCATTAACCATTTATAAGGCTCCTTTGGCAGAGTCCTGGAATCCTGAAACACAGGCCCTGGGCTTCACTGTCTGTGGCATTGACTCAAAATCCATTAGAGACTGTTGATGTTCATGATTTATTGTATATGAGCAGAGGTCGTTCTTGCCAAATAAGTGTCTTGTGTGATTTATAAATGAAATTCACTCTAGCTTCATTTTCTGAGAAAATTCTCAGAGTAAGTGCATTCGACATTGCAGGCTCTGGATTAATTGAGAGTGAATGGTATTGCATTATATTGCATTATTATCCTTGGTGTTTAAAGCTACCATTCTGTGACTTCATTACTGTAATGAAAATGGTGCTGTACATTCTCAGACCTCAAATATTCCAGCAGTTCACAAACACAGATTTCTACTCATTTCAAGCATAGCAAGGAAAACGGGCATGATGAACAATTAGCTTAGCAGGCAGGGACAGCAAAGCTGCTAAGCCTGTTCTTTATCCGATTTTCTCCCTGCTGGTGGATAGCTTATTCTCTCGTGCCAGAGTATGCCCTTTGCTTTGATCACCTTCATGAGAATTCATTCCACATATCGAATAGGCTGGACTCAGCTTTCAACTTCTGATGGACGAGGGGCAAGGGACTTGGCAGCCTGACCTGTTATCTGACCTAACCAGCTGTGCCCAGGCTCTGCTTCAGGCTGCATTTTCTAAATCTGAGCTGCTGCCTGATAGCTCCTGCCCAGCTTTCCTCAGGTGTCTGCTCAGTGGAACACTTCTGCTGAGGCTACGGGCCTCCAGGAACTTCTGTCAGCTTTCCTGAAGTCAGACTGCATCTGCTTTGCCAGGTCTGAGAGCTCAAACTCTTCCTATAGAAAGGGAACAAAGTAGACTATTGAGGTTTAATGATTATCACTGAAGGACCTAAAATCATTGTTGGAGAAATACATACTCCTCTCACTTATTCTTTTTCTTCAGACTTGTGCCACTCAGTGCAAAGGCTTTTCCACTTAATTGGAATAAATACAGGCTACTTTCATGTTCTCTTTAAGGTATCTAGAAAATGGCTACAAATGCAGGTTCTTCCCCAAGCCCATCACAACCCCTCTGTAAGCTATGTTCCACAGCAGCAAGGGGGGTTTCCTGCACAATACTTGACCTGACTCCCCCGTAACAGCTTACTGCAGAATTTTTCATGGTTATTCTGGAACCGGTTAAATACTGAGAGTTGTTTAATAGTGTGTGTTTGGGTTTTTAAGGAATTATGTGACGTACCACAGGGTGGAAAACAGCATTCAAATGAAAGAAGAGTCCCCCAAACCTTAATTTTTGTTGCTCTTTTATCCACTGTGGATTTACCCATATCTCTTGACCAATCTGTCTGGCTTTTAAACTACCTTCCTAATGACAAGCAGTGTCTTATTTATGTGCGATACTTCACCCTGTACGTGATTGGAAAGAGCACTCCATTAGATTTTATAATACCCACTCTGAGAGCCTCCAGATCTCTACGATGAGGCATCAGACAGCTGTAGAAGCCCCAGGCTTGCTGCCCTGTTACCCCCCAGCACTAGCAGAGGGGTGTTTGCTCCTTTCCTATAATGTTGCAGTCCTTTGCAGCTGTAACTGAAGCCACACTGTCCTTGTGCAAAGTGCTGTAGAGCCATGGGGCAGCACTCCAGACCTTCCCCACGGTCAAACTGTGCAACCAGTGCCTGAACCATTGCACCCACTAGTCTAACTTGGAGGTGGTTGCTGTGCTGCATGCCCCTGCACTCACTTTGCCCAGTGGGAAAACTCTTATACACAAAACTGAGCACTGAGGGATTCTCCCCCTACTAAATGAAAAATATAATGAAATATAATGAAAAAATAAAATGAAAAAATGATATTAGGCAGTTATCGATAACAATTTCGTGTCTCTCTAGCCTTACAGGGTATTTTAAAGGATCAGTTTCTCCTGCTTCCTGTGACTTTATTTGCCTGTATATTCCTGAGAAATACTTGCTGCAGGCTTTGTGGATGCTTCCTCCTCTTCCTGCAATCACAGTTTTTGGTTATTTTATCATTCTCCCTGTCTAGCTCAATAGCTTGGTGGTTGGTTTTTATTTTTTTAAATAGTATTCTTCCTGTACTTTGTACACACAACATCCATTTTTAACCATAGAGGACTCTCTGGTGCTCACTTCTGTCTGGATTTACCTAGATGAAGATGAGGTGCAGATATTTTCTGGAGTAGGTATTACATTTTGTTTGTATGGTAGCTTTTTCCTTTCCTTGGGGAAAAAAAGCAGCTCTCCAGAAGCCAAGCAGAACTGCTGCTTTTTCTTGGGACGTAATGTCCATGACAGGGCAGTAGTGGATAGCAGTTCTCCAGCACTCTGGTTTGGGCTTTTAATCTTAA